TTCCTTGCAGCAAACAGGGGCCGCCTCGACATGCAGCTGCTCGACCAGCATCAGCACCCAGCGTCAGTCAGTACCAGCAGCTGCAGCAACAAGGGCCGCAGGGCTTGCGGAACAGGGGACCTTCGACCCGGGCGCTGCGAGTCCCATCGATCTGGAACCACCAAACTTTCTTCTCGATGCTTTGCTTCTTCTTCGACCTCACACTCCTCTTCTTTCGATCCAGTCAAGGCCCATTTCGCGACATGGCAGTCCTGGCCGCCCGCATCCTGCTCCCTCGCACATCTTGCAGAGATTTGCACGCTACGGCCTCAACGGCATCGCCGCCCTTCTGCTTCGTCATATCTGACATCGCCCATCCTCCCCCCAACCGTCGATTGCCCCAAGGACCTTCGCCCAAGCATCGTCCAGGCATTACCCACGCAATGACACTGCGTCGCCGGAACACCTCCGGAATACACTGAATCCCTGCTCGTGCTCGGCCATGTCTTGCTCGGCCACGATCCTCGCCCATCACCGTCATTCCAGGGGCTAGGAAAACGACAGAAATCACAAGAGATAGACGAGACGGCCAGAGTTCTGGAAGAGTCACCAGCATTCCTCGGTAACCTCCCCTCATCTGCCGTCCCCTGTCAACCTGCTCTGAATGGCAATCATGGAATGCCGGTACTCAAACTCTATCCGCCCATCATCTCATCACCCTCCATCACGGGGGGGAATTCGCCGACCGACCCAGACTGGGATTGGTCTGGATCGTGCTGCGCTGATATTCACACGCCAGTCGGAGGGTTGGTGGATGAATGGTGGATCCGGGAATGCCCTCTCATGACCGGCTCCCCAACCGACCCCTCGCGTTTTTCGTCATATCTGGAATCACGGCTTCATGGCCGGCCGGCGGGCGCGTTCTCCTCTTCCTGCGGGTTGCGTTGCCCAACATCGCCGAACCGCCGTCGAGCCCGACGCTGGAGACTGTCCAGCCCAGCCCAGCCCAGCACAGTCGCCAGCTTCCCCCACGGACGCAGCCATCCATTCAGCTGTCAATCCCGGCTACTGGTTGCTAGCATGCGCCGAGCCGCTGTCAATCGCCGCCCGCGATGCTCGTTTGGGTGCATCCCCCGTCGATATTGCCCGTCGCCGTCAATATCGTTCCCTCCATGTCGCAGTGCAGTACTTCAGCGGTTCCTGCCTGTGCCGGGGTTGAAGAATCGAGCTATGGATCAAGAGTCGCAAAATCGATAGACAAAAGCCAAGTCCGAAAGGGAGGGCTGCTGTCACGACTGCAACGCAACACAACCTCACGCACGCAGCCCACCTTGCATACTGTCACTGTACTGTCACTTAGATGGCCTGCCACACACATGCACATCATCCTGCGGTGCCCAGCTGGACCTGTCAAATGTTAATTTTCCCTGAGTCGTGTTTGAGCGGCACCGGGTCGCATGATCTGATGCTCATTCCGTTGCCTCTCTGTGGCCATTCCGTGGGACGGCCCGCATTTGCGCCCTGCTTGGCTGCGACGCTGCTCTGTCTGTTATGGTCCTTCAATAATTACTATGCAGCAATTGTGCAGCTCCCGAATTCCCAGGTCAGCCAGGCCCATCATTAGCATACGGCCGCTTCTTCATATCGTCGCTCGCAATTCGGGACTCGCAAAACAAAGGCTCTGCCTCGTTCAAAGAGACGTCGAACGAGATGCACCGATCAAAGGCGTCATGCCCCAGATGGACAGACCAGCTCAACGTCACCCGGTGTTACACGACGCCGAACATGAACAGGTCCCGCTGCGATGCGGTCGGCGTCGGTCGGTGCAGAGACCAGCTTCCGGCGCGGCCTTCAGGGGCTGCCACGAGTCCGGGTCTGGGCGACGCGGACACTTCCGCCAGTCCCATCGTGTGCGACGCGACTAGGTCCTCGTACCTTTTCTCGGTAGTCGTTCGAGTAAAGACCGCACGCAAAAATGTCTCTCCATCAGGAGCCGTAAGAGCCAATGTCAAACGACGACTCCCAAAGCCAGCATCGCCGAATCGTCTGCCTACCCCCATCGAGCCAACTTGCAAGGATTCAACGACACACACCGAATCCTGCTACAGCCTAGCCATCAACCCCTTCAGCCTGTCGTCATACTATTCAAGCCATCAGGTCGTGCAGCCCTCTGACGTCCGGATTTGAAGATGGTCCCGCGGGTGCCAGGCCGCCAGGGTCTGCCTTGAGGGGTAGCGGCGTGAATCCCCCCTGTTAGCTCTTAGCCACATCGCGTCCTCAGCTTCTCGAGACATGGCGCTAGATCTGCAGGCTTCCCAATCCGGCATCACGTCAATGGAATGCACGTTACTCATCTCGACGGCGTTTCAACCGACTCTTTTCTCGCGCAGCCATCACCGACTTCTCTCACCTCTTGACACTCCTTCACGCCCGCCAATGCTCGCCAGATGCGCTTGCTTGGTCTTCCCGCGCGACAAAGAGACGGCGCCTTCCTGCCATACTCTCGGCCGTATCCTTATCGGTCTAACCTACTCGAACCCACAACGGGCCCTATTCAACGGCCATTCGGTGCATGGTTCCCTCCTAGCTCAAGGCCACCTGGCACTATGACCGCCTAATTGTGCACGACATTGCTTTTCCTCCGATGAAGATGCTGTCACCAGGCCTCTGATTTGCCATCGTCGGGGACGGCTCTGCTCGTGCTATTCCCGACTTCGCCGGGTGATCTGGTCAGGGCAGGCAGATTCGCCTCGTCGGAACCTCCTCACCCTCACTCGCCTTAGGCGGGTTTCACCTGGGATCATTCCAAGATGTGACCATCTATCCAACCCAGGACGGATCGAAGAGCGAGACTTATCACATTTTGTCACTGTCGCATCTTGGGGCAGATAATACTGGGTAAGGGTACCCTGGCAGGACCGGCCTGTCGGTTCCAACATGGCCCGGGAGAGATTTGTGCAAACAAACAACGCCAGGAAGCATCCAGCAAACACCTTCAACGTCTCCCCGCCTCCCATATCCGCAATTTGGCAAGCAAACATCACGAACCTCAAATGTGGCTGTGCGGACGGGTGAGGTCCGCAACCACGTATTATCCGACCTAATATTGACCACATCCATGGCTCCTTCGCCGTTAGGCTTGCCCGACCCATTATCAAGCTTAGAATCATCACTTCTAGATATTGTCGAGTCTGGACTGTTCTACTCCCAGGTACTGTATCTCTATTGGCTCCAATTCGAGTCCAGCGGCGGCCGCGGGGACTAAGAGGGTCCATCTGGGGGCCCTACGGCAGGCTGGTCAACGTCCCAAAGACTTTGCTTAGGAGGACAGCGGACGGCTCAATGGCAGTGGGAGAGGCGGCCGGCCTTCACCGTTATCTCTGCCATCCCGGGTCCGCTGACGCGAGGCGTCCCTCTCATACCTCGGTCGCGAGGCTAGTTGCTGAGTCTTTGAATCGACGGGGTCGCACGGCATCGAAGTCGCACCGTTTCTCCACGACAAGCGGTAGACGCGGAGGCCAGCGAGAAGCCGTCGTGCATGATCACCAAACCTGGCTTTACCAGCCGGGTCTTGGCATTCAATCCTCACCCGTGGCTGCTGCTCTCTGCAGCCACTTCTGCATACCCGATGGCCCCCTGTCGACCACTGCCCCCCAGGGCCATACCGCACGGTGGTGGGGAAGAGCTTGGGGTGCCCCCAAGCAGTGGGTTGTTTAGAGGGTCAAACAGACGCCACGCCTCGCGGGTGTGAGCCGTCATGATGAAGAAGCCTTTCACATCTTTTCTCTCTTCTGACGTCCTTTCTTTGTCGTTTGCTGTGCCTCAGCAGTCCAATCTCTCTGTTCAAACTTCGTTTTTCGAGGTTTCATCTGCTCCACATCCAGGACCCTGGTGGATCTCCCGGCCCCTTGCAACTTACCCTTGAACTTCTCAGTTCAGACCCCAGGGCATGCTTGAAGCACAGACTCGGGGGCAGCGCGACGTATTCCTGAGCTAGTGGTTTTTTTCTTCTTTCAGGCATCGTCCTTCATCCCATGGCAATGGGGTTCGATCGGAGAAAGTCACGAAGGCCTGTACCAGTGTGCTGGGCCTCCGGGGAGGTGCCCATTGGCCGTCCGTCAAGAGCAAGCGTACTTGATGACCCCCCCCCCCCCCCCCCTTTGCAGTACACCCCGTCCACAGACCAGTCCATGGTCCCGGGGAGGTTAGCTCAGATACCATCCCGTCCAAGTCCGATGAGCAAGGCCCGCCCAACATCCTCGTCCACTCTGTTCCCATGTTTTACCGTGGCGTCCACGGCTAGTCGACGTTGTCCAATGGCAGCGGCCCGACGCCCATATGCTTTTTCGAGCGGGCTATAGTCGAGGTGAGGAATGGATCAACCTGTGTTTGTCGATGTCAGTTGGTACTTCTCTCCTACCTTAGCTTACACATCTTACACGCGGTACACCTCTCCCCTGCCCACACTCTGCAGCCTGCGTTCATGTAAAAGCTCTTGTCTCATTGCCCAGGGATCCCTCCCACTTTGCTTTACTCGAATGGACCCAGAGCTATTTGACTAAACACCGCCCCCCGACTCTGGAATCCTCGCAATTTGCTCTTGTTTTGCCAACGCCGAACGAACCATGGCAGTGACAATGGCTGACGGTCCGAATCGGAAGGCCTGCGACCGATGTCATACGCAGAAGCTCAGCTGTAAACGCGTCGGTGACGAAGCTTGCGAGCGATGTGTCAGGCTCAAGACGCAATGCAAGTCAAGCCCATCCCTGCGGTATCGGAAGCAACACCACCAGCAGTCGACAGGCGATATCCTACGAAGAAGCATTCCGTCGCCCAAACGCCAGCGATCCAACAGTGGGAGCCACGTTGTGCAACCCGATCTGTGTGAGTCTCGTGTCTTTGACTTGTCTGGGGGGCTCTCCCTTACTGACCATTACTGTGCAGCCATTGTCAAGACCCAAGCGGGTGATTCTATCACGGGAAACCCTGGATTTGGGGATCATGCTGTGTCTCCAGAAGCCATGCTGGACATTGTCGACTTCGACTTTGGCTTTGGACAGCCGAGCCTCTACCCCAACCCAGCGCCAAATCAGCCTTTGCCGCCGCCATTCCACGGTGGCATGGAAGAACTCATGGCAGGAGATTCAATTTCTCACGCGTGGAGTCCCCCGCAATCTGCAACATCGGAGTCGGCATTCACGTCACCTGTGGCTCCACAGCCAGATCCAGCCAACCACGTCTATCTTGGTAGTCCTGGCCCCTTCAGGCAATCAGTCAGGCCTGGTCAACAACTCGACATCACTCCGGAGAGGCGGCAGAGAAGACGTGCAAAGCAGAGGACAAGGCAGATTTCCCTCCGGCCAGCTGCAGGTGGGCCGGGACCGTCTGCGGAAGAGTGGATGCCCCGGATCATCAACGTCAACTCCAGGCTCTTCGAGCTTTCGTCAAGCCTCCCACACCAGGCCGAAGCTTCTGACGAGCCGTCTCGATACAGCATGGCATCCAGTCCCGAAGAGGGCAGTGCAATGATGACGCCTTTCCCGGTGGACGAGATGTTCAAACTTTCGCGCCACTTTGCCGAGATACTTGCGGAGATGGGACCGATCGAAGACGCCTCCCCCGCTAGCGACATGGAAAGGCACCAGCCGAGTAAGGGACTCGACTCACTTGCGGATCCGGCGACTTGCCTCTTCATTCTCTCCACATATGTTCGACTCCTCGACATGTACCAGAAGGTGTTCAGCTGCATTCACTTTCAACTAGGACATTTGCAGCCGGCCAGCCTGTTTCAGTCATGGAAACTCCCTGGTGTCACTGTCGGATCTTTTGCGGTAGACTCGACGCCTTCACTGCAAATGTCTCTTACGATTCAATTAGCCGAAGAGTTTCTCTTGCAGATGCGGCGAGCAGCATCATCACTGGACCCGACTCTGCGATCGGCAGAGTCTCCAGCAGGAAGAACGCTTGACGCGACTTCCATGTTTTCTGGGGTGGTGGATGTCTCATTCCAGGCCCTGAAGAGGCAAGAAGAGAGTCTTGGACAGGAACTAAAGGACCTACGTAAGGACATGGAGTCCTTCCTTGACGGATGAAGATATATCGGAGTTACACATGTTACATAATACCATTGTTCGTTTAAGCCGCATCTCTCCATACACCTAGCAGAAGTGTACGAATCGAGTTTGGCGTGGAGTTGGAGTTCGGCGTCGCTGTTGAAGAAGAGAAACAAGCCAGACTTAAACTGGACTACCAAGACAAAGAAAACGTCTTTCATATGCAAGTACCCCGACTTCCCCACGAGGTAAATGTGCACTGAATCTCACACATTGACTTTGGTACCAAGATTGCGGACCGGTGCGCGCTTCCGAGGCCGCAAAATACCCAGCCCCGTTTTCGACGTTGTTACGCTTCCGTTCTCGTCGAGCCAGCCAAGACCTGACACAGACCACATGTCGGTCGTCGTTGAAGAAGAGGCGTCTCTTATCAAGCCTCCCGACAGCCGATGGCGCCAGTGACTCTGCGATGCTGGACGGGAGGCTAGCTAAGTAGTAGTAGTCCCGTTCCCGGGCAACTGGCCGACCGCCGAACGTGCAGCTCAAATCCCGGCGACCGTTCGAGACACGTTCGGCCACGGAACTCCGAACCACCCACCCCTTGCCAACATCATGAACGCCGAATGTTCTTCTCCCACCGCCACACGCCCCATTCCACCCCTTTGGATCCACCCCAACCGTGGCGGATGGGGGCGTGTGTCTCTTCTGCCCCCTTGCTTTTTTGACAGCAAGGGCACAGGCGTCATGATACCGACGACGCTGGTCTGCGAGGGAGACATCGCGAGATTGATGCCGCGGGCCTGTTGACTCCTTTCCCCTTCGCCGTGTAAGTGAAAATTCTATATATCCCTTCCCGTTCTTCGCCCGAAATGATTCAGTTTATTGGAAGCAAACACATCAACTCAACTTCTTCTCTATTATTATACTCTTCTCTCCGCCTTGATATCTCATCCCTGAGGCCATCATCCCTACCACTTATACCCTTTATTCCTTCCCATAATACATAATCATCCTAGAGATACCCCCGACAGCAATGTCTACCTCCTACAAGATCCCCAAGTCAGAGCCCATTGCCATTGTCGGCACTGGGTGCCGCTTTGCTGGCGATGTTAACTCCCCTTCTCAACTTTGGAATCTCCTATCCAACCCCAAAGATCTCACACAAAAGGTTCCCGCCAACCGCTTCAATGTTGAGGGCTTCTTTCACCCGGATGGAGAGTATCATGGTGCCACGAACGCCACCCAAGGCTACTTCCTCGAGCAGGACCACCGCGTATGGGACGCAGGGTTCTTCAACATCACGCCTAAGGAAGCGGAGGCTATCGATCCGCAGCAACGTATCGTGCTAGAGGTCGTATACGAAGCCATGGAGTCTGCCGGATACACCCTTTCCCAATACGCCGGCCGCAAGGTCGCCGTCTACGCCGGTCTGATGACCGCCGATTACGACTCGCTATGCCAGCGCGACGATATCACCGCTAGCCAGTACTTCGCCACCGGTAACTCGCGAGCCATCCTCTCCAACAGGATATCCTACTTTTTCAACTTCCGCGGCCCCTCCATGACCATCGACACTGCCTGCTCATCGAGTCTAGTCGCCCTCCACCAAGCCGTTCTCAGCCTGCGATCCGGCGAGTGCGAGATGGCCTGCGTGGCCGGCGCCAACATGATGATCACGCCCGAGCAGTTCATCACCGAGTCCAGCTTGCACATGCTCAGCCCTACCGGGCGTTCGAGGATGTGGGATGTTGGAGCGGACGGATACGCGCGTGGTGAAGGTTTCGCCGCGCTCTTCATCAAGCCCCTCTCTCGAGCCCTGAAAGACGGAGACGCAATCATCAGCATTGTCAGAGAGACGGGTGTCAACTCGGATGGACGAACTCAGGGCATCACGATGCCGAACCCCCTGGCCCAGGCCGAGTTGATCAAGGATACGTACCGCCGATCGGGTCTCGACTCCCAGAGCCCCACGGACCGGTGCCAATATTTTGAGGCGCACGGGACGGGCACCCAGGCTGGTGACCCTAGGGAGGCGCAGGCTATTGCTACTGCATTCTTCGGGAACGAGGCGTCGACTGCCGCCGACAGCGATGATAAGAAGCTTGTCGTCGGGTCCATCAAGACGGTCATCGGCCACACGGAAGGCGCCGCTGGTCTGGCTGGCCTACTGAAGGTGGTGCACTCCATGCACAACAAGTCGATCCCACCCAATCTGCACCTCGAGACCCTCAACCCGAGCGTCCGACCTTTCTTTGGCCACCTTCGCATCGCCACTGAGCTCATCCCTTGGCCCCAGGCCCCGGCTGGCCAGCCTCTGCGAGGCAGCGTCAACTCTTTCGGCTTCGGTGGCACCAACTCCCACGCCATCATTGAGCGGTACGAGCCGAGCATCCACAACGAGGTTGCGAAGCGCTTCGACCAATCCGTGAAGCTCTCTACCACCAAGCTCTCCGTCGCACACGATGCTAGCAAGCCCAGCGTTGGTCTGCCTCTGGTTCTCTCTGCCAAGTCGCAGAAATCTCTGGTCGCGGTTGTTCGCTCCGCTAGGGAGTTCATGGTTGGTGACCAGACATCGGCTGATGAGGTCGCCTACAACCTCTACACCCGCCGTTCCGCCCTGACTTACAGGGTTTCCGTCTCTGGCGACTCTCGCGATGCAGTCATTGCCGGTCTGGATAACCTCCTCTCCAAGGCTGGATCCTCCTCCAACCCCGAGCTTGGTGTCCGTGCAAAGCTCGACGGCAACAAGCCCAAGATCCTCGGTATCTTCACCGGCCAGGGTGCCCAGTGGTCTGGAATGGGCCGCAAGCTCTTCCACTCCAACTCCGTCTACCGCAGCGCCATTGAGAAGCTCGAGGATGTTCTCAAGACCTGCCCCCACCCTCCAACGTGGTCCCTCATCAAGGAACTCATCCACCAAGATGACGCCTCCCGCATCAACATCGCCGCCCTCTCCCAGCCTCTCTGCACCGCGGTCCAGATCGCCCTCATCGACCTCCTCGCCAGCCTTGGGGTTTCCTTCCACACTGTCGTTGGCCACTCCTCTGGTGAGATCGCGGCAGCCTATGCCGCCGGCGTCCTCTCTGCCCGCGACGCCATGCTCATTTCGTACTACCGCGGCATGTCTGCCCACCTTGCCGGCGGCAAGAACGGCCAGAAGGGCATGATGATGGCAGTCGGAATGACGCGCGCTGAGGCGACTGCTCTCTGCGAGCGCGACGACATCGAGGGCCGCATCTGGGTTGCCGCCAGCAACGCGCCGACCAGCGTCACCCTGTCGGGCGACAATGATGCTGTGAAGGCGCTGCAGGCCGAGTTGTCTGCGGAGAACAAGTTTGCGCGTCTCCTGGTCGTCGACACGGCGTACCACTCCGCCCACATGGAGAAGCCGGCTGCGGAGTACATGCAGGGCTTGGCCGCTTGCGGTATCGCGCCGAAGCAACGGAACGGAACGGTATGGGTCTCTAGCGTCTACGCCGATGGCACGGACCCGAGCGCCGACGAGCTCAAGGCGAGCTACTGGAAGGACAACATGGTCAAGGCCGTGTCTTTCTACGAAGCTATTGACCTCGCTCTGAGCTCGCAGGGCCCATTTGACTGCGCTGTCGAGGTTGGTCCTCACCCGGCTCTCAAGGGTCCTGTTCAGCAGACTGTCAAGGCCGCGACCGGCGGTGCGCTCTCCTACGCTGGTCTCCTCGACCGCAAGAAGGACGATAGACACGCGTTCGCTGAGTTCTTGGGCTTCACATGGTGCTACTTTGGCCCTGAGGCGATTGGATGGAAGGCTCTGGTTTCCAACTCAACCCAGCCTGGCCTCTTGTCATCGAAGGTTGAGCTGCCGTCTTACCCCTGGGACCACAGCCAGATGCACTATCGCGAGTCGCGCATCGCTCACCAGTACCACTTCCGCGAGCAGGGGCCCCACGAGCTTCTCGGTGTTCGCACTCGCGACGACACCGAGTTCGAGCTTCGGTGGCGTAACATCCTCAAGCTTGAGACCATCCCCTGGATCCAGCACCACAAGTTCCAGGGCCAGGCTTTGCTTCCTGCCTCCGCTTACTGCGTGCTCGCCTTGGATGCCGCAAAGGCTGTTCTGAACGGTCGCCCGGCTTCAGTTGTGGAGCTGACAGACCTCGAGTTCATGAGCGGAATCTCACTCGAGTCCAACACTTATGGCATGGAAATCCTCGTTGCGCTTAGCATCCAGCCCCCGGCTACCAAGGGCCGCTTGGCCGGCAAGGTTATCGATGGCACCTTCACCATCACCTCTTGCTATGCCGACGGTGTTGCGCCGATGCAGAAGAACTTCACTGGAAACCTGCGCATCTACCTTGGCGAGCCGTCTGAGGGAGCTCTTCCCGAGCGCGATCCCGCCAGAGCCGAGACACTGCCGGCCGACACCGATGCCTTCTACCAGATGATGTCGGAGATTGGCCTGGACTACACCGGTCCCTTCCGCGCTCTCGAGGGTATTGATCGCAGATACAACTTCTGCACCGCCACTCTCAAGAAGTTCCACGACTCGGACACCACCGGCCTGGGAGTCAGCCCCGCGACGCTCGACAGCTGCTTCCACTCCGTTTTCGCCGCCTGCGCATCCCCGGGTGACAAGTCGCTCTGGACTTCATTCTTGCCCAGAAGCATCGAGAAGATCCGCTTCAACCTTGCGCTCTGCGACGGAAAGCCTGCTGACGGGGCCTCTCTGGTTGTGGACTCCATCATTACGCAGGAGATCCCGCGCACCAAGACCGCGACGACCAAGTTCGTCGGCGACATGAGCATCTTCAACACCCGCGGCGAGATGGAGATCCAGGTCGAAGGCCTCATGGTTGCTTCCTTCGCCAACTCGAAGCCCGAGGATGACAAGGAGCTGTACCTGCACACTGTGATGGACCTCGACCCCGAACACGAGATCGTGACTGCCGACATCAGCAAGGAGGACGTCGCGACTGAGCGCATCCTGCTTGAGAGCTGTGAGAGAGTTGCGCGATTCTACATTCAGGATGAGTCGGCGATCAAGGAGATGGGAGCGCCGCCTACCTTCTTCACCCCGCCAACTTCGCCTCTTGCACCTAAGGTCGCGGGGTCTGAGGCTCAGCCCAGCCCTTGGAAGTACGACACTCAGGAGTCATTGGAGGCTTTCATCCTCCAGTCGCCTTTCTATCATGCTCTGGAGTTCATCCGCATGCTGGGAGAGAACATACCTGATGTCCTGCCGGCCATGATTTCCACCATCATCCAGGAGGCCAAGCAGCTGCACCGCTTCCGCTCCCACGTCAGCCGGGTCGTCTCTCAGATTGCTCATCGCTACCCTCGCATGCGAGTGCTTGGTCTTACAGACCCCGAGGCTGGCCTCTCAGAGCACATCATTGGTGGTCTCAAGGGCTCTTTTGTGTCTTACACCATCGGCACCGAGACCGAGAAGAACTTGCTCGCCAGACTCTCAGGCTCTGAGGCAATCAAGAAGAAGATTGACACCGAGCACCTCAAGCTGCTTGAGTCTGAGAACAAATCGGCCCTTCAACCCTTTGACTTGGTCGTTCTCAACACCTCGGTAGTCAAGGGTATTGAGCAGCGCGACAGACTCAAGCAGGTCCAGAGCTTGATGAAGCCAGGTGCTTTCCTCATCCTCATCCACGAGTCCATGAGCCCCCTCCGCGACAGACTTCGCCGCGCCTTTGGTGTGAGGGCCCAGGTCAACGCACCCCTCACTCCTCCCGAGTGGCCCGATCTCTTGGACGAGTGCGGCTTCGTCCGCGCCGCGATGAAGGCCGAGCAATTCTTCGCCCCTGACTTCTCCCTCATCGTCCGCCAGGCCGAGTCGGAGATCAAGCAGATTGCTCTGAACCCGTTCAATGGCTCTCTGCCCAAGGTGGCGGGACACACTCTCATCATTGGCGCCGGCTCCAACTCGGCCGATCTGGCGGCTGAGGTCCACCAGAAGCTGATCCCCGCCTGCAGCATGGTCGACATTGTCGCCGACTTCGACTCACTCCAACCTGACTACTTCAACGAGGTCAGCAACGTCATCTTCCTTGCTGACCTGGACGAGCCGATGATGAGCACCATGACATCCGAGCGTCTTGATCTCCTCCGCGCCATCATGGCGCCTGAGAAGGTCGTGCTCTGGGTCACCATGAACTCTCGCGCAGGCAACCCTGAGCATGCTGCCACCTATGGTTTCTCGCGCTCCATGCTGGCCGAGATTCCCAGCTTGAAGCTGCAGATGCTCGATCTCGACTCTCGACGCGACTCAGTCGATGCCGTTGCTGAGACATTCTTGCGACTGAGCATGAAGGAACTGCGCGCTGGCGGCAAGGACGGTGAGTTGCTCTGGACGCACGAGAACGAGATCTTCATGGAGCAAGGCCACAGACTTGTGCCCAGAGTCATCCCCTGGAAGGAGGGCAACGACCGAGTCAACTGCCCCCGCAGACTGGTCTCTTCCGAGGTCAACACCCTGGAGAGCTGTGTCGAGGTTGTCTCCTCCCAGTCTGGTGACGGTTCAGCCGTCTACACTGCCAACATTGTCGAGGGCGAGATCCTTGACGCCATTGTCCCTGACCAGAGTGTCATCATGGTGAACTACAGCTCTGTCGAAGTGATCAACTTTGGCCTCAAGTACGCCTCTCACGTCTGCATTGGTAAGGACGTCTCTACCGGTGAGCAGTCGCTGGCAATGACCAAGGCCAACTCTTCCTACGTCACGGTGCCCAACTCCTGCGTCTTCCCTCTTGGAGACCGCAATATCGAGCCCAAGACCCTCCTCAGCCTTGTCCTTCGCTATCTGGTCACCTTTTCTCTTGAAGAGGAAATGATGGGACAGACTCTCCTTCTTCTCGAGCCCGACACCGTTCTCTTGGAGTGCATGAAGGAAGTCTTTGAGCCAAAGGGTGTCAATGTCATCTCTTGCACCACCACCCCGATCAAGGTCAGAACCCCTGGCGAGCGCTACATCCACCCCTACGCCAGCAACCGCGAGCTCAAGGCTCTCTTCCCCTCCGGCGGTGCCTCCATCATCGACTTCCTCCCCGAGGGCAGCGAACTCTCCGAGGCCATCCTCGACTGCCTCCCTGAGAACTGTGAGTACCACTCCCGCTTCTCCCTCCTGACTTCGGAGCACGTCGTCGCCCTCGGAGACTCCATGGACATCGAGCCCATCTGGGAGACCGCCATCGAGAAGGCGTTGGAGAGCATGACCGGCATGAAGGGCCAAATGGGCATTCCCAACATCGACTCCATCTCTGTGCCCGCCCTCTTGGATCAGTCTAGCAGCGGCAAGCCCTTCCAGGTCCTCGACTGGCGCGCCGGCCGCACCGTTCAGCACATTGCCCAGCCGCTCCTGGGAACCCAGCTTCTCCGACCCTACAAGACCTACGTCCTCGTCGGCCTCACCCGCGACATGGGCCAGAGTCTCTGCAACCTCTTCTACGAGCACGGGGCGCGCCACTTGGTCCTCGCCAGCCGCAACCCCAACATGAACCCGCAGTGGATCGATGATCTCGCCGCCAAGGGCTGCGAGGTGCGCATCGAGAGGCTCGACGTCACCAGCATCGAGAGCGTGAGGGCCTTCAAGGAGAGGCTTGCTGCCGAGATGCCTCCCGTCGCTGGTGTCATCAACGGCGCCATGGTCCTAGACGACCGCGTCTTTGCGCAGATGGACGAGAACACCTGGCAGAGGGTCATGCGCCCCAAGACGGTGGGCTCCAGCAACCTCGACGAGATCTTCTCTGACTCTGATATGGAGTTCTTCATAATGACTTCCTCCTTCGCTGCCCCCGGTGGCCACGGAGGACAATCTAACTACGCCGCAGCCAATATGGTAAGTACTCTTTTCCCCTCCCCGATTCCTTCAAGACCGCTAACATTCCGCAGTACATGAACGGCCTCGCCGCCAACCGCCGCCTCCGCGGTCTCCCCGGCTCCGTCCTCAACATCGGTGTCATCTACGGCCTCGGCCTGCTCCACCGCGAGCGCAACGACATCTACGCCTTCCTCGAGAAGGACGGGTACCCGCCCATCTCGGAGCGCGACATCCACCACATGTTCCTCGAGGCCATCGTCACAGGCCGCCCCGTCGACGGCCAGATCTACGACATCACCACCGGCCTGAGCCGCTACAGCACCGCGAACCCGGACCCGCTGCACTGGCACCGCGACCCGCGCTTCTCGCACTTTACGGTTGAGGACGACGCATCGGCCGCGGAGGAGGGCGAGGGCAAGCAGAGTCTCAAGGAGACGCTGCGCGGCGTGGTGGACGGCGGGGTAGATGCCGTCGCGGAGGTGCTGACGGAGGGGTTTGCGCGGTACCTTGAGACTGTGCTGGGCCAGAGCGAGGGGAGTGTGAAGGGCGAGCATAGTGTGGGCGAGCTCGGTATGGACTCGCTTGTTGCTGTGGAGGTGAGGGGGTGGTTCTACAAGGTTGTCGAGAGGGATGTGTCTGTGATGAAGATTTTGGGGAGTGCGAGCGTGGCGAAGTTGTGCCATGAGGTGTCTGAGGGGTTTGTGGGTGAGAGGGTGACGGCTTGAGCGATGCTTTTTACTATATAAGATGTGGGCAAAGGGGTTTGGATAGGATATTTGGAATTTTGGAAAAGCTTGGGAGGTTGGATTTGAAATTGGTGTTCTGGCTTTGGTTTGGCTGTCTTACAGATTGGTCCGGGAAAAATGGCGGTTGTCTTTTCTCACGTTCTTGTTCGGTATGGGTTTGGTCTTTTGCTTTCTGGGTTGATACCACGGTCATTACATAACCTCTTTTGTTTAGACATGTTCAAGGAACAATTTTCACAACTAAGATCCATGAATGATGTGATGCTCATGCCATGATGTGACGTTTTGGATCGCTGCGCCAGAGATGATAATGGCTTGGGTGTCTAATACTTGAGACAGGTCCAGCAATTAGTACCTAGAGGGGATTTTAACAATAAAGGGCACTTCCAATAACTGTCCCCCTGGATGATTAATAAAATGTGAAGGACTTGTTCGTCACGTTCGCTTGTTGTCGGAGGCCGGTGAGTCCACACTCCGACCCGACCAGCCCCCCCATGACCCGTTCAATCGGCACGTGTACGACTTTTTGCCCGGCACGGGATGAGCCAGGCGCCGATACACAAGCGGCGCAGCCATCTCAGTCGGCCCCAGGACTGATGCGGTAAGCCTGTACGGCGGAGCGGACGTCAACTACCCCCGACCATCATCTTATTGTGGGGCCCTACTCGAGGCCTGCATTCTTTGTCCCTTCTGAAAGCATCATGACTGGTCGATGGTGCCGCTGTAATGAGCGATCTTGGCCGGGGTGCTGGGGGCTGGAATGCTGCAGACCCGACGACAAGGGAATCTCGACGATTGTTTCCGCAGCCACTCCGCAGCCTCCTTTTACATAACGTCGGTGACGGTAAATCCGAAATCAAGACCATAAAGTGCTTATAGTAATCGCTTGGAGGCCAGCCTTGGATGTTGCCAAGTCTGCCAGGTTCAGTCTTTAACATCTCTTGCGTTCTCTCGCAGCATCTGCTTCAGAAAACCAAACAACGAAGCATACTGAATAAGTCACGATGAGCAGTGCACAGCAGGTATGGAAAATCAAACAATATTCGCTCTTCTCCAGCCTTCAAGTTTGGCCTGACACTTTCTCTCTACGAAGAAGGCCTCTGGCCCGCCGTATGTACCAACGGTAGCTCTTCTGGGTCTGACCCCAACCTCAACCGTCGACATCCCAATCTCCGCCGTCCTGATCGCATTCTTCCTATGCTCAGCAGTAGCAAACTTCACGATATTCAGGCGCAACCAAGCCCGCGCGCACAAATTCATCCCGTCCATGGTTCTTTTCGGCTTCTCCATGGCGCGCACGGCAGCACTGGTCCTGCGAATCGTCTGGGCGGAGCGGTTGACGAACGCGAGCCTGGGCATCGCTGCAATGATCCTCGCCAGCGCCGGCACCGTGATCCTCTTCGTCATCAACCTCATTCTCGCCCAGCGCGTCCTGCGCTCTCTACATCCGCGATTTGGCTGGCACCGGGTTCCGAGCTTCGCCTTCATGTTTCTGTACTTTTGCGTTGTGGCCTGTCTGATCATGACCATCGTTCCGACGGTTCTCACATTCTACACCCTCGACGCTTCCGTTCGCCAAAAGGCCCGACAAATTCAGCTTTTCTCCGGCACCTATCTCGCCCTACTGGCGTTTCTCCCGATCCCTATCGTTGGTCTCGCAGCTGCGTTCCCAAAGTCTGGGAAGCCAGAGCCTTTCGGCAGCGGCTCTCTCCGGACGAAAATGGTTTTGGTGCTGGGGACCGCCGCGCTTTTGACCCTGGGCGCTGGTTTTCGCATCGGCGTCAACTTCACGACGCCAAGGCTTGCTTCAAACCCGGCGTGGTATCATCAGAAGGCATGCTACTACGTCTTCAACTACGTTCTCGAGATTATCGTCGTGTATACGTATACGTTGTCTCGTTTCGATAGACGATTTTATGTACCGAATGGAGCTAAGGGGCCAGGAGATTATGCCGCCGGCTTCGCTATGCAACATGCTGAGAGTCAAAACACCAATGACTTCACCGAATCAGCCATCAAAAGAGATTTTGCTTAGGATTCTTATGGCTGAAGGCTACTTCGGCCAGCTAGCTGAAGGCATCTACGTGGATAGAAAAACTTATCTTAATTGGCCAGAAATAGATTTTGTGTGCCTAGCATTTAGTACCTACCCATGACTGTTTCGGTCTCCCAGGACGACATCTCGAATAATTATGACATGAAGTTTCCGACGATATCTTCAAGACACCGAGGGTTTTCTTTGCGCCGGAGCTCTCCAAAGCTACAAGAGGTGCAAGAATAGTCTGACTCTCCGCCAAATCGAGGTTTTGGCTACTGAGCTGCCGCGTGCCTCGGAGATCTCATCAAGCGAAATGCGAACCACAGGTCGAAAGCCTTTGTGTCGCAGATAGACCCATAGACCTCTATCTTCTGCGAGGCTCGCGAAGAACGAAGCGTTCTCCTTGACCCGGAAGAATGATTCCATGCCTTCCTCAAATGAATGATAGTGATAGTCGTTGAAAAGAGTGACGAGGGATTTCTCAAACTGGTCCAAAATCTCAACATCCGTCTCGCCTGTACAAAGCTCTAGTCCACGAGCAAAGTCGAATATGTCCTCCAGCCATCGACAAAGGTGTCCTTTGAGATGAGTGAGGGCAGCCTTCCGCACTAATGTCTTGACCTTGAGCACATGCGAAACAAGCAACGCATGGTGGGGGTCAAAGTCTTCGCCGGCCTTCTTCATCAGAAGCAAACTGACTTCATCCAATTTCAAATAGTCGAGAACCGTTCTGTGAAGTGGTCCGACCTTTTCTCCAAGGAGCTTAGGCTCATAGGTATTTAATGTAATGTGTAAGAGGTCTTTACACCGGACCCCAAGCTGTCTCCTCTTAGCTGCAAGCATTTCGGCAGCATCTGCATCTATATCGGGCCAGCTGTCGAGGGCGATAGAAGGCTCAGTTCGAATACCGGCTCCAGACTCTTCGAGGTCAAGAAATAGAAATGTGAGCATTGGAAATGGTCCGTTAGCTCGAGAAACCATCAGCAGAGTTCGAGCTGCAGATCTCTTGTAGACTGACTCAATCCCTTCTAGCATGCGACCGAAGAAGGCTTCGAGCTCGTCTGGGAAGTCGAGCAACCTGCGATTCAGGATAATCAGGTCATCTTTGTTTGTTAGACCACGTATCAGTGACCTGACTACTAGAAAGACCCAGAGAAAGACACCATGTGCCCGGTCTACTATGTGTTGTATGAGAAATTCTGCATCCTCGGGACTTTTTTGTCTCAAGCACTGTAACTGTTCGTTTGCTTCCAAGGTGTCGGAGGTAAATATGCGGATATCCTCTTGGGTGTGCTCGTGTAGTCTTAGCATCCAGCGGGTTTTCCCAAAGGCGTCCGAAAAGTCCACCCATGGACGGCTGGACACACAAACTTTGATGTTTGAAAAGTCGGCAAGGGCATGTACGAGCTTTGATATTGCGATGTGATCACCCGAATACTCGTCAAGTCCATCAATAAAGATGCAGATCCTCACGATGCCGTCGGCATCAGGGAGGTTGCTCCTCAAATTGCCCAGATTCATAAGACATTCCAGAAGTTCATTTCTCGTCCAGTCGTACGTGTTGAGAAACAGATCATCCACCCAGCGGTTCGGACATACGTGCTGGCACAGGTCAGGCCGCTGGATCAGTACGTCCTGAAGGAGCGTTCGAAGCAGCCCCTCCTGAGACATCTGTAAGGATGTTCCAGCACTCCAAAAATGGTGTTTTGCGATAATGAGGTTATCGACGCCCCATTTCTGAAGAGCTCGCCGAGTACGAGAGTCGCCAGTAAGATACTTCATCAGTGTTGACTTTCCAGAGCCTGCTTTACCTGTTATCCAGTAAATACCGTGCTCCACCTGGAGCCACTCGGTGAAAAACAGGCTTTTGTCGGTGTAGATCCACTCGAAGGTATTCCGATGTGCAATTTGAATGTCCGACTCTCTATCCTTAATCAATTCGAAATTCAAGCTTCGCACGAGCTTTCGGGCTTTCGTGAATTGTTGATACGCCGGTCGTAACTTTGAGATGAGATTCGTTACGTCCATCAAGTCTAGATTTCTCACACGGTTTCTCATAACCTCGAGATCGAAACATAAATCTCTTCGGATGACATTGAGTGATGGATGATTCGTTTCCGGCTCATCTGTATCCGTTTTACTGTGATTGTACACGATACGCTGTTGCAAATCATCCAGGGCAGTTCTATTCGTCGAAAACCAAGTTAGATTTCACTCCCGAATTCTATCAATTCCCGACTCTACTTCAACTCACCCGGTCAAAAGTCCAGTATGACTTGCAATGGCACCTCTTAACCGATTGATTCTTTTTTCTAGGTCGTCGATCTCCTTCTTGGTAATCTCATGCCTGGATGCATACTTGACGCTTTGAAGGAGGCGATTCATGGTACCTTTTGCATTACGACCTCGAAGTTTCTGAAGTAATGCTAGTAGCTCACTGATCAAGATAAGACACGTTCCAATCAGTTCGGCCAATTCAGGCGAATCCTTACTCGCTTGAGAGGATTCCATCTTCGTGAGCAGACCTCGTAGATGCACCATGACACTGCTAAGTTCTTGTGTTGGCCTGAGCGTTGCACTGGGATTCGTGAAGATGTTCTTGCAGGTTGCAATGAATTTGTAGGAAAGTTCACCAAACTGGATCACATTTCCTGCTAAAGCAATAGCTTCCATGGCGATTTGGGTATCGCAGAGTTGGTAGTGATGTGAGCCAAGATGCCAACTAGGTTATGAGAAGCGAGAAGTAATTGTGGAAGCTGCAGCCTGGTCGTGTCATCTTGAGGGGTTGATGACTGTCAGACGCCAAGAGCCATATGTGATTTGACGCAAGGCGTTCGGCCGAAAATAGCGCCTTGCAGCCTGCAGAAGAGCGTGGTCGAAATCAATTGGCCGAGGGCGGGTGTTACATACTGTCGGAATTTCGCAACTGAAGGCTACAAGCTGCAAGGTCCTTTCAAGCTTACGAGCTTTTTGCCTGACCTGGATATGTCTGCTGGAGCCGCAAGGTGGCAAGGTTACTTTCCGATGACTTTACTCACGTATACTTGCTTCTGAAACTAAACCCAGACGGTGCCAGAGAACAGCTTCAATTGGGAAGATCTACCACATGTATCGGAACGTCACAGCCCTATCACCCTGAGCAGACAATTCCTCCGCCGTGTATCGGCTGTCGTCGCCTGCCGCCATCTGCCTGTCACGTTTTTTGTTGATCCCGATGTATGAGAAAATGAGTATCAGGGCAGCGATAATGCCGACAGAAATGAAGCCGAGCTCAAGTCCATGTCCAAGGATGTATCGGGGAGCATCTTTCTGGCGGTAGAAATTGGACGCCATAGCCTATGGGATGTCAGTCGAGTCAATTCAAGAAAGAATTTCTGTGTTGTTCGGGACATCTTACACCACCCAAATTACCAACACCGATCTGTAGAGCCATTCCAGCGCTGCGCTTGTAACTCCCAGAAAGGTTGTTGGAGAGCCAACTGATGACGCCGGGGAAGGCAGGGTAGATGGCGCAGGCAGCCACGAAAACGCCGCCGTAGACCACCTTAGGGTTTGAACTTGAGATACACCTGGAAAGAAACAATTGTTAGCGTTGCAAAGTTGGCGATGTAGTAGGCGGCGTCTTACATGGAGAACCCAACGATCATCATGCATAGGAATCCCACAATGAATGGGCTTCGCTTGCCCAAGCGGTCAGAAAGATAGGCAACGACAACTGCAAGAATCGCGGCGGTGATGTAGATAGGAACGGTCATGAGCTGAGCGGTGCTTGACGTATAGTTGAGATTTCGGATAATCGTGGGCAGAAAAAGACTGATGCCGTAGAGGGGGCAGACAATCTGCCTTGTTAGTAGACAACCTTCCATGACCCGGGGATTTACTTACTCCCCAATAGACAAAGATATTGATCCAGATTTGCCAGTCCGTGAAAGCATCCCACACGTATTTCCACTGAAAATCGTCGGCCTCAGCAACTTGAACGCGGTTGTCTGACTTTCCTTGAACCTGGCCCTGATACTTGAGGCGGTAAACAACGAATGCTCTTTCTTCCTCGGTCAAAAACCTGGCTGTTTCGGGGAAGTCGTGTAACGCCCAGAATGCAAACACTGCAACGATGACGGTGACTATGCCCTCGAGAATGAAGATCCATCTCCAGCCCTCCAAGCCGCCGGTGCCGTCCATCTTGGAAATGGCGAAGGCAAGCAGACCGCTGAAGGCACCAGCAATCGACGCAGCGGAGAAGAACATTGCTTGTCGGAGTTGGATCTCGTGGCGGCAGTACCACATTGTTAAGTAGTACTGAAAAGCAGGTCAGCATTCGATTACAATCTGTCAAGCCGGTCCACAACTTGCAGCAACGCCAGGGAACAAGCCAGCCTCAGTCACCCCAAGGAAGATTCGGGCGACTAGCAGCCCATGGTAGTTCCTGACAATCCCCATAAGCGTCATCACTGTGCCCCAGGCAACCATGATCGTGGGAAGCCAGATGCTTGGTCGGAGTTTCTTGAGCAACAGGTTGCTTGGGACTTCGAACGCAGCATATGTGAAGAAAAAGACTGTGAGACACCAACTGTACTGGTCAGATGTCATTCCCAGATCTTCTTGCAATCCTTCAATCTTTGCGTTGCCAATGTTCCCGCCTACGGCTGATGTCAATTAGGTCCTTGAATTCGGTGGTTATTTTGACTAACGATCGAGGAAAGATAGAAGATATAGCAAGGCCAGCATGGGAATGAGGCGGATGTCCATCTGTGTCGCCTCAAAGGTTAGTCGTGTGAATCCTCACGGCGCAAGTACTATTTTAATCAAAGCGCTTGCCTTTCTCAAAATCTTCTTCTCATCCAAGTGCGCAAAAGACGCAAGGGTCGTTCCCTGTGCGGTCGCGATCGCATCGATGCGCCCAATCTCGTCCTTTCTCGTCAAATGTTCTGGTTGACCATTTTCCAGCTCCGACACGTCCAGCTTTTCGGAGTTGGTAAACATGCCAGCCATCTTTGCCAATCCAACGAAGGATGGCAGCAATTTGCAATCGAACTGCGATCTTGTTCCCAAGGCTTGGTGAAAGCGGTGGCCGGGGATGGGTTGACGAGGAGCTGCTGAACAAGAGATGCCAAGGACAGAAAACGGTTTGTGCAAGGGTTCGTCGTCGAACACCCCAGGCCATCATGGTTGGCTCATCTACTAGATATAAACCTTCGGATCACTGTCCGCCGGTTCGGCCCAACCCACGGGCCACTAAACAGGTTGGCCATCGTTTGCATCGTCAGCGGCTGGGGTGAGCCCCGTCCGCCGCCGGCTCGGCAGATCGAAACGGCCAATAAGTTTATCGGTCTCTCAAGATTCCGGGGTGATTGTGGGTGTCAAGGCCGAGGTAGAAGGCTACCCCGCGTTTCTTGATCTTATTTGAAGTAAGCTTGGGGTGAACGCGCAGCGGAATGATGGCCGCTGCAACGCGTGACCCACGTGTTCTGGTCTGGATTAGTTGGAGATTGGTTGGAGGCTGGTCGGAAACAGCACAGATATGTTGAGGGATCGGCGGAGCGGAGAGGTTGGCGTGGATTGTGGTCGTGATGTCACTTGGAGAATGCGGGGGAGGAGCCGGTGTTCGGTCCGCACCACGACTAACATAGATCACGGGATCTAATTCCGGCTCGTCTCTGCACCGCAGAGAGGCTTAACTGTCCGGCGTTACATTTGGCCTCCGATGGTTCTCTATGAACCAAAGAAAGTTCTCATATATAGATAATATCTCAAGTTTTGTCAGCAGTAAGACCAGTTCCAGACCTCAACTCTATGTTCAAAACTACCTTGGAGGTACTTGAGGCATGTCTACTCCGCAAAGTAGAGCCATTTATGTTTCCTGGCAGAGAGGAAATTGTTGAAGAACCTTGAAGCACATTGAATGATGCAGTTGCGAATTTGGCACAGCGTCTGCTCGATTGACAGTACCGTTCCAATTTTCCTTGCGTCTTCTTGTATCCTTCTTCCCTTGTAAAATTTCTCTTCAGTTTACCGCCTCTGGGCATACTTTTTTGATTGCCGTATGGTGTCTCCCTGTATATTTCGACTGACGTATGATAATGTCCTGGGTTTCCGATTATACAAACGCCTTTGACGAGTACTATCTATGAACAGTTACTACCGAATATGACAAAAGAGACTCTCGTCTTTGCTTGTGTGTCTCATTGTTCATTAGCCATGACTGCTCTCAACTTCCTCAGGAGAATATTGGTTTTATATCTGCTTACCACGCGCATTCAACGCCGTGAAGTATGAGACTTGTCAACGTCCAAACTGTGGTTTTCCTTGCTGGCCTCCACCTCCCGTCGGATTGCAGCGGTTTGTTCCTCGTTTGGCTCTGTTGCATCGGCTGCGAACTCGGCTTCCTTGATACGTTTATTTTGCTGAACTGCATCTTCGTTTCCGGTATTGGCAATGGAGTCGAGCATGTCGTAGAAAAGCTTTGTCGTCTTGTGCCGGCATCTTGAATGAACCCGTTGAAGATTGAGCATTCAAATGCTGAAGTGTCATAGACAAGAAAACATGGTAAATAGTCGAAATTCTATTTAACGCAAGTTTTCTATTTGTTTAGACGGTGTACCCTCTGAGACCGAGTTGGGCTAACCCATTGACGCAATTGGCCGAGCACATTTCAGTGACTGCGGAACGACCGGATCCCACGGCTAGGGCGGGATCTAGGTTTTATACCCGCCAAGCCCCGCTGTCTCGCATTTCACTGTTCCTCATCCTACAGATCCGGCATGCCTGTTCCTCGTCTGTCACATCATTGCCTTCACTTCCGCGACATTTAGCGACTTCAACTTCGCACGTGCTTTCGGAGCTCTCACACCTCAAGCAGGCGTTGCGGGGCCGAACACCCGTCGGCCATGGCGGATGACTCGGCCGAACAACCCATCTTGAAGCGGAAGCGAATCAGCGTGGCCTGCAACAGCTGCCGCGCGAAAAAGTCCAAGGTAAGCTCCAGGAAACCAAGTTTAGAGCTTGAAATTTTTGACTCTTGCAAGTGCGATGGGAAGCGGCCGGTATGCGGTCGCTGCGCTGGCTATGATTACCACTGCTCATGGGGAAACGAGGCGACGCATCGCGATGCCAGTTGCACGCCACCATTAACGTCCTCCGAAGCAAGTAATGCAACAAGTCCACAGGAGATTTTCGATCGGTGCGAAAAGGCTATACGAAGTCTGGCCATCGATGTACCTCCTGAGGCACGGGCCGAAATCAATCAAGGTCTGGCTCGAATCCAGGCTGCCCTGTTCCATGATTGCTCGTCGGGGGCGACCACGATTAGCCCAACCAGCATCACGGCCAGTAGCCCTGCGCTCATTCAGCGCATTCAAAGTCCCAGATATGTTGGCGAAGTCAGCGACATCCATTTCTTCAACTTGGTTAGACAAACGGCCGCCCCTCGTGGCGGTGATGGTGGTTCACAAGACGACACGGGAGAGGTTGACAACTACGACATCGATGCACCAACCACGATGGAATATCTACAGAACCCAATCTCAGATATGCCAGAAAGGGAACACGTGCAAAAGTTTCTGGGGATCTACTTCTCGACTATACACGTTGCGTATCCTTTCGTAGAAGAAGCACCCTTCATGGATAAACTCAAGGACCTACAAGACGGGAACCCAGCCCCGGATTTAACCCATTCTTGGCTGTCTCTGTTATGTAAGTATCTAAAGTCTCAGAGTATTCACTTTGAAATGGCGTGCTGACATCAGCAGATGCGGTGCTCGCTCTTGGGGCGTACTATGACTCGTTCCGGCCCGACAGTCGGTCAGACGGCTCAGCTCATCAAAAGCTGTTCCAACGTTCCTTGCTTTTGTCTCGTCATGACATGCTCGAACGTTCTTTAACCCAAGTCTCGGCTCTGTTAGCACAGTGCTTTTATCTACTAGCAACATCCGAGATCGATAGATGTTGGGCTTATCTCGGCCTGGCTGTCCGCTTAGCACAGAGCATTGGCCTACATGCTGACATTCAGGACCATGGCTCAAGTCAACCGAGCTCGGAGCGACCTCAGATTCGAAGCAGGGTCTGGTACTCTTTGTACATCCTGGACCGGCTGACAGCCCTGCAACTTGGAAGGCCACCTGCGATCTCGGACCATGACTGTCATGTTCAGATTCCTTCGCGTATTGACGGTCTGGATCCAGATGTCAACAACAGCGAGGTACCGGAGAGTTCCAAAGAGGGTCGTGCTGGGGAATACTTCGTCCGTCTCATCGAGTTCTCTTCCATCATCGGCCGAGTGCTGAGGGAATGTTATCACCCAAGGCGCGATATCGCAGCTAGGCTACAAAGCACCAAAGATTGCGATGTACTACTTCTCACGTGGAAGCAAAAGCTGCCCAGATACTTGAGGTTCGACCTCGGTCACGCATTCGAGAAATCAATTACTCTTAAACGTCAGGTATGTTGTTCAGTATGCGTTGTAACTGACACGCCGGCTAACTCGGATGAAGCGGAACATGTTGGCCATCAAATTCCACCACCTGCGGGCCCTGATTCACCGACCGTATTTATACCATACGTCTCCTGAAAATAATATATTGACTCAGGATCAAACATGTCGAAGTCGAGAGTATGGGGAAATATGCGCAACGGAAGCACAGTCAATCGCCTCTCTGATGCACAACGTCACTGATACCATGGACATCGTCATGAACTATCCCTGGTGGCAGATGATATCATGCCTCGTCTGCGCAGGATCTATCATGGTCATGGCAGGTGCTCTGATCAAGCAAGACGCTAGAGACGATACCACCGTGGTCGCCTTGGAAGAAGACGTTGAGACGTGCATGGCTGTTTTGAAGGCTCTGGCCAGCAATTCCCACGGCTCAAACCTGGCGTGGGATATGATGAAGAACATACGAGCCCGCTGTACGCGTGCTTCCGATAAACCTGTCAGCGTTGACATAAGCACCTTGCCGCCAAACGCAACCCTTCACCCTGGCCAAGGCCTAAGCCAGTCTACTTATCGTAGCCCCTCGGATACCTATACCATACCTTTGGTGGCACCAAATACAACTCAATCGGGCTTCTCTGTGGAGCCGACTAACGGCTTGGACATGAACATGGGGTTTGGAGATAACATCATGTGGCCGATGATGATGACCGACGCGACATGGCCCGGCTCGTTCTTGGACATGCTCCATCCCTCATACGGATCTCAAGAAAACAACTAGAAATTGGAGCATAAATTATTTGATCATTACTCTCTACACTCATCATATTGGAAACAAAGTGATGCCCATGCCCCT